AGGGGATATGTACTGGCAACAAAACCCCGCGGCGCGAGGAGCAGCAGCAGCAGCAACAGCAACAACAGCAGCAACACCAGCAGCAGCAACACCAGCAGCAGCAGCAGCAGCAGCAGCAGCAGCAGCAGCAGCAGAGCGTGAGATAGCAGCAATCGATGACACGTGCCGTCAGGCTGAGTCTTTGTGTGCTCTTTTATCGAAGAATTTGTTGCTGCAGCAGCAAGCAGCAGCAGCAGCAGCAACAGCAGCAGCAGCAGCAACAGAAACAACTGCAGCAGCAGAAATACACAGACAAAGAACAGCAGCAATCCGCAGACAAGAGCAAATCAAGGCAACACGAAAATATATTATAGTTGGCGCCATTGCTGCTGCTATCTACTTCCTTCAGCGTGCATGCAGATAAACTGCAGCAGCAGCAGCTGCTGCTGCTGCTGCAGTAGCTGCGGGTGCTGCTGCAGTAGCAGCTGCAGCAGCAGCTGCGGGTGCTGCTGCAGTAGCAGCTGCTGCAGCAGCTGCGGGTGCTGCTGCAGTAGCAGCTGCTGCAGCAGCTGCGGGTGCTGCTGCAGTAGGACCTGCTGCAGCAGCTGCGGGTGCTGCTGCTGTTGCTGCTGTTTCAGTCAGTCAGGTCTTGCGGTAACGCACAGTGCAGCAGCAGCTGCTGCTGCTCATGCTGCTGCAACAGTAGCTGCTGCTGCGGATACTGCAGCAGCTGCTGCTGTTCATGCTGCAGCAGCGGGAGTGCGAGGGCTGTGGCAAGGCAGCAGCAGCAGCAGCAGCAGCAGCCGCAGCAACTTGCTTTTTCTGCAGTATTATAAGCATATGCTGCTGAACCTAGCACCAGCAGCAGCAGCAGCAGCAGCGGCAGCAACAGCAGCAGCAACATTAGCAGCAACAGCAGCAGCAGCAGCAGCAGCGGCAGCAGCAGCAACATGCATTGGTGTCTGTACACCGCAATCTGATGATTAAATTAAAGCCAAGGAAGCAGCCCTCAGTTCAGTAAGCCAAACTGCAGCAGCAGCAGCAGCAGCAGCTGCTGCTGCTGCTGCTGCTGTTGCTACAGCAACTGCTGCTGCCGCTGCTGTCGCAGCAGCTACTGCAGCTA